AAACATTTGAGTGTGGGTGCTTTTTTAATTGTATTTTTCATTTACCAGTTTAAGCTATTATACATCAGAAGTGTCATAACAGACCATTACAACTATAAAGTGATTTGCGACTGCAGTGTCACTCAAATATTAGGGACTTGACTTGGACTTGCAAAAAATGACTTGTGAGCATCTCTGCCTGCAGGATTATTTATTTACCGTTTGTGTTTAGGTTTGAACTTCAATGATGAAAACCAATATTTATAATTATTCAGATTCAGTGTTCTTGTAATTCGATCAGCTGTGTTAGATGAGTTGTCTGACAATTTAAATCAATTTAATAAAATGTTATTTATCTATTTTCTGTCTGGTGAACTGGTACCCGTCATTAAATGTTCTTATCTGTTCCTGAGACAAATATGTTTATTATCATTACTGTTTTCTTCAATAAAGTTATATTACCAACATATTTACTCTGTTCTTGTAAAAGTCTCTGAACTTCTTGTTTTTGGTGAATTATTTTCAACAACAATGAATCTGGATATAAACAAGCATATGTGTTTATTGCAGCTGTTGAGGGGTTTTCACAGCAGCCCGGCGTCTCCAAAGAGCCGACCTGAAAAAACAAGGTTTATCGGTGAGGACCACTCCAAGGAGCAGAAGTCTCTGGTCCCACAGGAGGACTTGTTTGAGCAGATCAGCAAAGAAGCCAGAACAAAAGCTACGTTTAACCAAGTCATCGATGTCTTCATTGCGAGGGACATCAGACGACGGGGTCACGTGGAGTTCATCTACGCTGCTCTCAAGAAGATGCCAGAGTTTGGGGTGGAGCGAGATCTGAGCGTCTACAACAAACTGCTGGACGTTTTCCCCAAAGAGGTCTTTGTGCCCCAGAACTTTATTCAGCGCATGTTCAACCACTACCCCAGACAGCAGATATGTGGGGTGGATGTCCTGGAGACGATGGAGAACTACGGTGGGTGTGTGTTACACAACGAGCGAGCACTGGAACATGTTCTCTACATGTTTTACATTATAAATAATATTTTATGTTCAGACATATCAGTCATCATACATGTCCTGTGTCCTCATACACAGATAAAAGGTCTATTTAAATGTCCTCACGTGTTCTTCAGGTTTAACACCCAACATCGAGACCAAAGTCCTGCTCATCCAGATCTTTGGAAATAAGAGCCACCCTATCAGGAAGTACCAGCGCATGATATACTGGTTCCCTAAATTCAAACACGCAAACCCGTACCCCATTCCAAAACATCTGCCAGAAGACCCGGTGGACCTGGCCCGCTTCAGCTTGACTCGCATCGCCAACGACCTGGATGCTAAAGTCACCATCTACCAGGTAAAGYGTTGGGTCTGGATAAATAAATAATACAAAATAAGTATATTCTGTAAAACAAGATATTACATCAAATACAAGCTGTAACATGTGGAAAAGGTTTTGTAATGATTGGTTTCATTTAGTCCACATCACATTTCACCTGACCCAGATGTTTTGTACTCAGACCTTAAAGATAAATCTGATTGAAGATCAGTCCTGTGTGAGCTGCAACAAGACCAGTTCTCAGTCTGACAGATTTACAGCACTTATGGAAATAAAATGATTAAATGATTAGTGACGATGATGATGATTAGTTTTTCTTCTTGTACTGTATGTTTGTCAGTTTATAACATCACAAGAACTTTCATTTGAGCATATATATAGACTTTTTATATCCTCTAGACTTGTTTTACCAAAACCTAACCTGTTGTTCTGTTGTCCTACAGCATCCGGGTCCAAACCTGACAGAGAGTGGAGAGGAAATCAACTATCCATATATAGTAGGTATGGACCTTACTCACCTGCTGCAGCAGACACATTTATTTATACACTTACATTGTTGTCAACAAGACTGTATGGTAGCTAGTTTTTACACAGTATCAGAGATTTACTTCTTTACACTCAACTGTTTAGCYTAAACTTCATGTGTGTTAACCTAGAGAAGCAGTGAGAGCTGAAGCACTGTACTGAAACTGACTTGTTACAGCTAAACAACAGCCTAAAGGTAAGAGGCACAAAATACTAGCTGAAGTGTAAAATAATTAGTCAACTAATTCTAAATTAAGAGAGGGCTAGCTAAAAGTAGCAAAGGGCTACAAGCTAAAACTGTCTCAATGCTACCTAAAAGCAGCAAAATTCTAACATTCTGTTACATGCTGAAATAGCAAAAAGGTAGCTGAATGCTATATTATCCTTTTGCTATCTTTGGTATTTTGTATAATTAGAAATAAGCTGCACTTCAGCTGGTTCACATGTTGACTTCAGCTGTTTCACATGTTGACTTCAGCTGTTTCCTCTGTTGACTTCAGCTGTTTCCTCTGTTGACGTCAGCTGTTTTACGTGTTGACTTCAGCTGTTTCCTCTGTTGACATCAGCTGTTTCCTGTATTGACTTCAACTGTTTACTCTGTTGACTTCTGCTGTTTCCTATGTTGACTTCAGCTGTTTCACATGTTGACTTCAGCTGTTTCCTATGTTGATTTCAGCTGTTTCATATGTTGACTTAAGCTGTTTCCTTTGTTGACTACAGCTGTTTCCTGTGTTGACTTCAGCCATTGTACGTGCTGACTTCAGCTGTTTTACATGTTGACTTCAGCTGTTTTACATGTTGACTTCAGCTGTTTCACATGTTGACTTCA